GGGAAGGGGGGGGGGGGGGGGGCGGGGGGGAAATCTTTCACATGTGACTTGCTGTCAAGTGGGTAGGAAGAAATATTCTTGTGCTGTTATGGTGCAACAGGATGTCTTTTGAATCTACATTAAATACTGATCTGGCACTGTCGTGGTTTAACCCCAGCCAGCAACTAAACACCATGCAGCTGCTCACTCACTTCCTGCCCCTCCAGTGGGATGGGGGAAGAATGGGGGGAGGTAAAACTCATGAGTTTAGATAAAAACAGTTTAATAGGACAGAAAGGAAGAAAATAATAATGATAATAACAATAATAATAATAATAAAAGGATTGGAATATACAAAACAAGTGATGCATGATGTAATTGCTCACCACTCGCTGACTGATGCCCAGTTAGTTCTTGAGCAGCAATCCCTACCCCCCCAGCCAACACCTCCCGGTTTATATATATACCAGGCATGACGTCCCATGGCATGGAATACCCCTTTGGCCAGTTTGGGTCAGCTGTCCTGGCTGTGTCCCCTCCGAACTTCTTGTGCCCCTCCAGCCTTCTTGCTGGCTGGGCGTGAGAAGCTGAAAAATCCTTGACTTGGTCTAAACACTACTTAGCAACAAATGAAAACATCAGTGTGTTATCAACATTATTCTCACACTAAATCCAAAATATAACACTATACCAGCTACTAGAAAGAAAATTAACTGTATCCCAGCCAAAACCAGGACAGGCACCATGCAAACTGGTTAAAGAATGGGTATCCTAAAAAGACAAGGCACTATGACTTTATACTTTGGAAAGACTCTTCCAAATGTTATTAGCAGAGTAGTCCAATGATAACCTAACCCAACTCCTGATCCAAATGCAATTCTGAGATACTGAGGCTGTGGCCTCACATGCAGCAGCAAGGTAGCTTAGGATATGCTGTCTTCTCTGTTGAGCCAGGATGGCTGTTCATGGGGCTGTGCAGTAAATCAAACTGGAAGCCAGTCCAGTGGAGTGCTTCTCCCGTTCCCTGGCAAGCTCCCCAACTTGATTCACTGTGTGCCTATGGATCAGAAACCACCTTCCAGGGATGGGAGCAATTCTGCATGGGGGAGGAAGCCTGAGCTGGCACTTCTCTGATGTGCTTGTGCATCCACAGCCTTCAAATGATCACTAGAATTTCCTTGGTCTATTTTCTGGAAAAGGTACCTCCGCAAAATAGTGTCATGACCCAGGCTGGACGGACCAGGGAGTTCTGTTGAATTTGGAATACCCTCGGGCTAAATGAAGGTGAAACAACACCAAATGATCAGTTAAACGTTTTATTCATGGCAGAAACAAACTGAACTTGGGAGGCATTACAATAGGATTTCTCACAACAGGAATTGGCATGAAACTAGCTCAGTGACCTGTGTAACCTGTGGTAACCATGTACATCAATTCAGGGAATAGGGAGATCCCTCCCGTTGGGTCTTGAGGTTCAGAGTGGACCCCCTTGCTTTCTAGACTCCTTCTCAGAGAAGAGCCTAAGGGTGGCTAGATCCACTCTTAGTCCCAGACTTGGTCAGCAGTTTTATGTCTTAAAGGGATGAGGTGTAGGGATTATAGAAAAGGAAAGAGAAAGAGAGAAAAAGGAAAAGAGAGATTTCACCAGTCCTGTGTCCAGTGTTGGTCTAAAGGTCCAGTTCCTGTGGCTGTGTGCATGTGAGGCTTCAGTTTGTGTGCTTTTATCATCCTTGCCCCTCCTTTGGGTGGGCACTCAAACTCATTGGGCTAATTAAGTGCCAGGCATGGTTTGTGCTTTCAGAACCTTTGGGAAATGGGTCGGTGGGCTTGGGGGTCCTTTGGGGAGTAACTTCTTCCCTGCAGACATGACCATTGTTTGATCTTTGGCCATGCACAGTGAGCTGCCCTGTTAGCACGTCAGAACAGGTTGCTGCCCACCCTTGGGCATGCCCTCCCTGTCCTGTTGCTGATGGGTGCTGATCGGCTTCTTCTCAGCTGGGGTTCCTTGCTATGCAGATTTTGTTGTTATGCAGATTTTGTTGTTATGCAGAACTTGCCCTACCACAATGTTTGAGACATTCACTCTTTCAGTCTGTCACAAATGGAAAATAAGTTTACTCTTGTTTTTACTGTGTGATTTTTCACCTAGACTGGAGTAGGTACGTATGTTAGTGCCACTGCTAGTTTGGGAGGTGTTGAACTGATGCAGAACAACTGTGTAGTTATGTTCTATTTAATCTTTAATATTGGATTGTTAAGATATAATTTTGAAAAGTCTAAAAGCTATCATGTTTAAAATCACCGTCAGCATCCTAACCCTAGATGAAGTTCCAAAGATGAGCTTGAGAACTCTATTAGGTACCAAAAAATCATAGCTCAATGAAGACTGATTTGTCTATGTCACATCATAATCTCCCTTTTCCCTCTGATATTCCGCAAGCAGTAAGATGCCTCTCTTCCTCTGGAAGAGAACCCCGTCAGCCTCTGTCTCCCCATCCCCAGCTGACCCTCTCTTAGGTCACTGAAGCAACCAACATCGTTCAACAGTTGTTATTCCTTTATATTCACTCTTGAAGTTTTGTTCCTTTTCCAGACCTGGACCTGTTTGCCTATTCCTCAGTGTAGCTGGTGCTGGTGTTCAGACCTCTCATTACCTGCATCCTCAAACAGCTGCTGACTCTGCCACTGCTAGTTTATCTGTAGCGCAGTTTTAAAGCTGTTTAAACCTTGCCGGCCTGTGTCTGGAGAACCAGAAGGCTGCTTGGATGGCTGTTGTGAGCTTGCAGTGTTGCTAGCCTTGTGTGCTCTGCCCCCCCCGGCCCAATTTGTGCCATCTTTTTCCAATGTAAGCAAGTATTATTGTTGTCCCAAAAATGGGGTGGTTTACCCAGTGTGCAAATCGCCAATATATGCACAGAGCAGAAGTATTTTATTCCAATTCATGTTTGTGCAAAGATGGGGACTAGGTGGTAATTCTCAAAGCTAGCACACCTCATGCCTAAACGGGCAAGCAATTTATACAGTTTAGTTTTACATATTTAGTTTCCAGTGTTCTTCCCCAAAACTATTGTCGGTAGTTGCTTATCCACCACAGTTTCTATTGGGCTAAAGTTTTCCCCACTTCGAATTAAAGGTAGTGTTCTTTTATTCTACAGCGCATGCTCAAGGAGGGTGGGGAGGTAAGTCTTTTTGGTCTTGAATTGAGTCGGTGGTCGTGATGTCCCCCTGCCACCTTTACCTTTCCCCCAGTTATCGAAGATCTTTGCTGACTTCATGCCTATTAGCAATTATTCAACTTCGGGCACCTCCTGCGGTAGGATGTTCCCTTCTTATCAGTCTTTTAGTTCTTCAGGGGCACAGTTGTTAGCGAGGCACGCATTGTTTATACAAAGGGCATCCTGTTTCACTAGACCTTTGTGGCCTTTTTAAGGTGGCTTAAGTACATCATTATCACATGCAATGGTTATTTGTGCTGCCCTGACTTGTCTGCACATCTAATAGGATACAGGTCACCTTTGAAAACTTGAGCCATGTCCTGTGTCCAGGTTCTGCAGGAGCAGCAAGCTGTCTCACCGAACTTTTGTGAAATGTCTCATTTATCTGAGCTATCTTGACTTTTGAGGTGATTTTTTTCAAGACTTGTGCATGGAGTTGTAACAGCTAAATCTCTACCAGTTCTCTCCTCCTCCAGGCATGTCAAATTATTGCTTTAGATATGCATAAACACAACAGGTTGCACCACCCCAATAGAAAAATGTGCTCTTAACAGCTGCTGAAACTTCATTCTCAATATATTCATTCTTGTATAGACAGTTCTGCCAGCAGAAGCAAAACAAGTCCTGATTATTACTTATTTCTTAAATAAGTTTAAAGTCTCCTGAATGACATACAGAGAATAGGTTTAAATCTCTTTTTTGTGTCACTGCTGAAATTAAGTTTTTAATTTTAGCACCTTAATTGGGACTACTTAGCTTTGGAGTTAACCCTACAACTGAAGAATATGCAAATAAAAATGTCATGTTCTGTTTATTGATACTGTTTTCTCTGAGGCCATGATTTTGGGGCAGGGTGGTGGTTTGTTTTGAGCTAGGCCATGATAATTACAGGAAGGATTGTTCTAATACTTGTGTCGTAACTATGACTTGCCATTTCTTTTCTGTATGTTAATGCCAGTGGGTTTTGCTGTGTTTATCTAGACTGCTGGAGTTGCAAACACGCTTTGAAAGAAAAATCAATGTAAATTCAGCTAATCAATTAATATGCATCTTTCTAGGCACAAAGGGTTTGTGGTCTAGTCATGGCACAACATTTTAACTTTTGAATGTTTAGCTCCAGCTTTGGATGAAACAGCAGTAAGCATGAAAGAATAGAAGAGTGAGCACTTCCTCCTGTTAATTTACCTGTATATTTGCTTGTTTGTGTGTGGTGGGGTGTATTCTGGGGTTTTGAGTTTTGTTTTTTGTTTTCTTCCCTTGCATAAGAGAGATTTTAGTTTTCTTGCACTGTTGTGTGTATCTGAACAGGGTTTTTTTAATTATTTCATCTTATAGGAGGAAAATGGCCCAAGCTACTGCACCAGCAACATCCATCCATGATGAAGACTCCTCTGAAAGCAGAATGGTGGTTACATTCCTCATGTCAGCACTTGAGTCAATGGTTAGTAGAGAAGCAGCTGTGTCATAACTGTCTTGGCACGTGCAGGATTACAGCAATATATTGCCTCCTGCTGAGGAGCAGGAAAGGTGTAATATTATATCTTTACCTTATTGTGTGCCGTTCAGCCAGCTGTAACTGTTATCTCCTTGCTTGTGGAAAATCATGCTAATGGTCTTCCTAACAGTCATCTTGTTTCTTGTTGTGGTGTGGTTGTTTCAAAAATTATTTTGTCAAATAAATAAATGGGAAATATTTCTTGATTGCTCAGGTAGAGTGTGGTTGAAAGGCAAGAGTATGTTCTAGTCTTTGTTATCTGTAATATAGAGTGAGTAAATGGTCTTGAGGTTAATGCCTTGTCCTCAGCTGCTGTACCAATTCAACAAAACTTGTTCAGAAAATACTGTTTGTTTGTTGTTTTTTTTTAAGTTGGCATATCACCTGTTTTGTAGAAGTTATTTTATCATTGTGTGGTGGGGTTTAAGGTTGGCCAGGGCTGTGAGTGGAAATGTCTGTCCTGTTTCCTTGAAGTTGAGGCACTGTCAAAGATTTGGTTCTTTAAAATTGTTGTCTTAAATGATAAGCAAGAACAAAAATTTTCTTTTGAGCAATGAAACTTTGAATGGGATGGTTATAAGATAATGGATTGCAAGCCTCTTTTCCCAATGGGTATATTTGGTTCCTAAAAGCTTTGTGTCGCTTTTTCCTCTCATGCTGCAGTAGTTGGTGTCTTTATAGGTTGCAGCAAACTTTGATCTGAGTTCCTAGGAGAAATTGACTTTTTGTGATCACTTCTTGATGGTCTCACTAATTTTCTTAGGATCTTTGCTCTCTCCTTGCGCCACAGGCTTCCTGCCTTACTTTGCCAGAAATTTCTCCTAGCAGAACACATGTAGGTGTTCACAGGGAAGGTGCAATCCTTCTCAGGAGGAATTCACCTGAGCCTGAGCACAGCAGGCAGGACAAGGCAGACTGCAGGCAGGCAGCCTTCCTGTTTGCAACCACACCTTTCTGAACGAACATGATGAGTGATAAGTGTGCTGTGAATGAACAAAACTCCTGTACGTTCTGTTGAAAGTTGGAGTTGGAGTAAGACACTCAATATGATTATCTAACAGGGAAGTGATAATTTCACATGGATTGATGTCATAAATCATTTTAATTAAAAACAGTGCAATCTCTGAGTCTAGACAAGGCCTTAATTTCACTAATGCGTCAACAATGCTTTTAAGATTCCTGATGAAAAGCACTGCAGATGTATAAATTGTCCTTTGCTAATGGCTGATGTTATGTTACTCGCAGTACCTTCTGAAGGGTGGATGCTGGCAGCAGGACTAATAACTGTTTTACATGATACCACATACATTTCTATTAACTGTACTCTTAACTATGGTAATAAAAGCTTTTTGTTTTTCTTTTTGTAGTGTAAAGAACTTGCCAAGTCCAAGGCAGAAGTTGCCTGTGTTGCTGTATATGAAACAGATGTGTTTGTAGTTGGAACTGAGAGAGGAAGAGCCTTTGTCAATTCTAGGAAAGATTTTCAGAAGGATTTTGTTAAATACTGTAAGTTTCAATGTTGTGTTTTTGTATTTCACAAGCTGCTTAATGTGTATTGCATAATACTAAGAACTTTGGGGAGCAAAGTTCTGTATATCATGGCTATGTGCTATAATTATGCTGGCTATGGCAAAACCATCTGTTTAAGAATGTAAAAATGATCAATAACAGTGGTCTTGTTTGGAGTGTTATTCAACTGTGGCTGGAAGTGTTCATTTTTCTTAGATAATGTGACAAACTAGTACAATAAGAAGTATTAGACTGTCCACCCTCACAACACATTCTGCATTTCCACATGTATGTTAATTTTTCTTTGTATCCTTTCCTCCAAGTCTTTTTTCCACTCGTGAAGGCTGGGCAGGACATTTAACAGGTAGTGGACTACTTCTGTCAGCTCAGATGGTCCTGGTTCTTCAGATCACTATGCCTTATTGAAGCAGATACACATTTTTGACAAAATGCTATTTTTTATGTAGCTTTATTTATATCACTGTTATTTAGTAGACAGAAATATATACCTATACCATAATGACTTAAAATTACATCTGCATTACTTTTGTACTCCTTTAAGTACATCTAGGGTGTGATTTTGTTTAATTTCATTTTTTTAGTAAAACAGTGGAACTTTTGTGTTCATAAAACACAGTCCATTGGTACAGGACAGTATTTTTAGGAGCTGGGTTTGAAAGATTCAGTGGTTCTTTGAGGAAGCATTGATATGCTCATTTAGGAAAGTGTTGTTGATGGATACTGCTTTATCAATAAAGAAATGTACGTTTACCTGCCTAGGGAAAGGGAGAGATGCAGGTCAAGAGCAGGCTGTGAGAGAAGAATCAGTCGGGGGGCGGGAGGGGTGGGGAGTTCAAAAGCAACAGCTGTAAAATGTTCTGGCTTGACTAATTAAATGCTGCTTGGAAAGCAACTGTGTTTGATCTGTAACAGAAACATTTGCTCCTAAAAATGCTTTTGCTGCTAGCTAAAATTCTCCTGGAGGTTCTGTCTTGAGGTCGTTAGTTCATGGTGGGGCTCTGGATTTTTTCCACTGTCCTACTCACTTGGACAGTGACTTTCCCTGCGCATTAAGTATATTTACTCTAAGGAAAGTCAAGACAATGTTGCATTGTAAGAGATAACTGATATCAAAATCAAAATGCAGAATTACGACCTCACTGAGGAATCGAAGTATAGGATGAATCAATTCCTTTTTTATTTTTTACAGGGGCAGTCTTCTGATACTGGTATTTATGGAAACTCTTAGCTGAATAATGGAGGAGAGTTCAGTTTTTCACCTGATTTCTTTTTGTTGTTGTTGTTGTTGTTGTCGTTCCTCAAAGGGCTTCCCAGAGGTCCTAGATACTTTGTTTTATTGCCAGTACATTGATATCATGGGCCTTGATGTCCAGGAGACTTTGTATACTGGGCACATCTATTGGTAGGGAGCCTGAAATAACTGGGATTTGGTGTTTGATCTCCCTGGCTAGATCTGTATTTCTGCTTCTGTACCATGGGAAGCACTGGCTTCTCATCCATGCTTGTGTTTGACTGTATCAGATGTGGTTTCTATAGATACGTGCGTGTGTTGAAATCTTACATTAGTTGTGATAATTCTGATCCTTTGCTTTATTCCAGTTACAAGATGCTCGTTCTTGGGCAGTGTTTTGTACTGTCAGGCCAACGAGATTAAATAATATCCACTTTGAAAACAGTGTTTTCGTTCTGCTTCTTGCAGAACATTGTGGTGTAGATCTGTGTGAATAAAGCCAACTAATGTCAGTCATTGCTTTCATGGTTTCACTAAGTGCATATCCCCCATACTTTCTGGAGTTTTGATGCTGCAGGTAGTTTTCTCCTGTTGCTGAGAAAGATGTTGCAAATTCCACAAAACTTGACTTCAGAACACCAATTATTAGGAATAATAGCATTACGTATTCCTGGCGATGCTGATTCCATCACTGCCTTTGACAACTTTGAAGTCTTGATGAAGTTTATAGTGTAATATCTTTTGATCTAAAACTTATAACTGTGGAGGGCACAGTTCCTTTCCCATTGCACCTTGTTTCTTCAGTTAAATATGAAAGCTAGCAATAGACAATGTTCGCTGCAATTTTAGTAGGTGTTTTGGAAAAGTCCAGGAAGGCCACAGATCTGTGCAGTTTTAGTAAGTTAGAGTTGGGCCCTTTTTGTTCCTTTATGATTAATAAAGGCTTCCAGGAGATTCTTACATTGCTGTTAGAATTAAATCTTTAAAAATTCAGCTGTGATGTCAGTCCCTGGAACACATGGTGCTGACAGTATTGAGAATTAGCTCTCCACTTGTATAGGTCTCTTCCTTTAAGTATGGAAACAAAAGTGTAGTTACTAAGCATTCCTCTGGTTATGTCTGACTCTGTTGTGACAAGCCAGCATGTGTCTCCCATCTTTACCTCCACTTTTCCCACAGCTCCTTTGTATAGTTTGAGTAAATATGAAGAGTTTTCAGAATTTGGAGGCCTCAGGCTTCAAACCCACTGCTTACTTTTAGTAACGAGTATAATTTAGTGGGCTAAATTGATGAAGTGTATGTATGAGGTTTATGAAGGAAGTAGCATGTACACTTTCTAGCAGTGTAGGACTGATAAAAATAACAGCGGTTCAGTGAAAGCAGCATTGGAGTTTGGTTTCCTGTGGGTTTCATTCATAACAACTTTCACCCACGTGGGTTCCCTAATGCCTAGCTGCAGGGGAAGGAGGAGTCCTGCGCATACCTCATGTACCTTGTTACCTTAAGAAAATGCGTTAGAAACAAATTATAGCAATGCTTTTTTTAACATTAGTATGGGTTGTGTAGTGAGTGTTGAAGAACCAGTCAACAGGCATTAATTATTTAAAGTTGTGTCAGGTAATATGTTCTTCTGAACTGTTCTTAATTAAGATGGCTAAGCCCTATGTTACAGTGAAATGGTATGTTTCAATCAAGTAGAACTGCATGTGCTTGTACACATAACATGTAACTTAGGTAACCTGTGGTGTCAGTTATTCTAAGCCTTTGTAAGTTTGTATTGTACATAAAAAGAGTATATTCTTCGAGTACCTGCTCATATTCAGAATGTGGACAAGCATGCATACTTGTGTACTGTAAGCAGTCAAGATCATACACGTCTTGCCCTACCAGTACCTCTTTGTTTTAGTTGCTGTTCCCTGCTGAAGTGTATTGTGTGGTCCTCAGTTCCTCTTGGATGGCCTCAGCAAGATGAAGTGCCTCCTTGCTCTCTGGATTGCTGTGCAATTCTGGGTTATCAGCCATCCTGAATGGGAGACTTATTCCTGGGGTGCTTCAAGAATGTTGTTCCCTTCATGTATTCATTTTTGTCATCTTGGTAGTTTCCCTTGAGGTTTGGTCGAGGTTTGGTATCAGCTCTGTGGAATTCATTCTCATTTGAATGGAGCTGCAGATGGTTTATAAAACAAACAAAAAAAACAGAAGAGGTCTCATCATCCACAGGCTGTATTTGCCTGTCAGAAGTGACCTTTCAGAAGAGCTTCGTGACTCAGAAACACCTTTTTGGTCATCTGCTCTGGACTTTGAAAGAGCTTTACCCAGCACTGTGTGTTCCATCCTATCTGCCAAGGAGCTGATTGTTCTCCAAGAATCTTGGTTGCCTCTGCTAGCATTTCCACTGGTACCGGCTGTTGCACCATCGGTATGTAGGTCACACGGAAGCATAATCCTGCTAGTTCTGTAGCTTTCTGTCAGCTCTCCCAGTCATGCTGCTTTTTTTCCTTCTTTGGTGCCAGGGCTCTGGGCTCGCTTGCCTGAGGTGGGGCCATCTTGCATCTGTAGATGGTTCATCTTGGATGATGTGTCCTTTATTTTTAGGAGCCTTTGTTTTCCTTCTGGTGGCCTCAGGTTCCCACACTGATTTTAACAGTGCATCTGGTATGGGCCAGAGTTTGTCTTCAAGTCCTGCTAGAGACTTTTGCCCAGCATCTTTCACTCTTCTTGCCTGTACCTCCATGTCCATCCAGCCACAGGTTGCAAGAACTCCTTGTAGCTTCAAGAATGCTCAGAATCCCAGTGGTTTTAGTGGGCACAGCTGTTCCTCCTGTTCATGATGAATGAATGGCACACGATGCTCCAAAGACCTTTTGGGAAAGATTGCTCAGCTTTGGCTCCTCAGTATCTTGGGTATGTGGATTACTGTTCCCTTTTGGATATTCTCCATTATCTGCAGGCAGGTAAAATGACTCTTCCCATAAAGTAGGCTACTGCGGGCCTGCTTGAAGATCTGCGGCTAGGCTTCTGTCTCATTGAATCCTGGCCTTTGAGCAAATAGAAGTATCAGGTTTTCTGGGGAATTCTTCTTCTGACATTGTGCTCCCTTATCTCTTTGACTCTGTAACTAATGTAATGCTTCAGCAGTTTAGAGGGGGGCAGGAAAAGCAAACAAAACCAGAAACCTGAAAGGCTAGATCTTACTGGTTTAAAAAACAAACTCAAAACTGGCAAGTCTCTGACTGGATTGGCAATTGTTGGACTGCTTTGGTGTACTGTAATTTCCATCTGAATACCTGAAATTGGCATTTCTGGGCTTGTAGTAGCTTGTCCCTATAGTCTAGAGAGAATTGAGCATCTCTGGCTGAAGTTATACCGTGTCTAGAGTCTTGCTGTGGTAGATGCAGGCTTCCTACTCCATAGCTGTAATTGTAGGTATGCAGTGACTGTCCTCATTTCAGGTTTTGGCTTCCACAGAAGCTGCTGTTCACTGTGCAGATGTCTGTGGGGAATGAGCTTTTTAACTTAATCTCTAAGAAAGTTTCAAATGCATAAAAAGACTTGAGCGATCCTTTGGTCTTCAAGGATGTGCAGATGGGATTCTGAGTAGTCAGTCTGTGCATCACAACTACACTAGAGAGTGTCAGTCTACTTCATCCCTAGCTGTTCATCCCCATAGTCTGGAGGATGCCTGTGTGGGATTAAAGCAAATCTGTTACTGCCTAGGCCTTGTTTTCTAGGCAGCGTCTTCCCA